CTTCAGTTCTCAACACCGGTGAAAAAGAGAGCTAGCGTCAAAGAAAGCATAGCTTGACAAATATAGAAGTGCTCCAAGAAACATATAAAAAGCAATGTATAGGCACTGGACAGGTAGTTCAATCTCTAAAATGCTTGACCTGCAAACATGAGGACCTGAGTTTGATCTCCTGTACCAAAAGAAAAGGATGCTGCAATAGTGCATGTCTATAATTCTTGCACTGGGGAGGCAGAGACAGGAATGTCCATGGGGCTTGTATAATCAGCCAGTCTAGCCAAATCATTAAGCCCCAGGTTCAGCAAGAGACTCTGACTCAAAAAATTAAGTCAAGAGTTATTAAGGAATATTTGATGCACCTTTTGTCCCCCCATATGTGTACATACATAAGCACATGTACCTGCAAATGCATGTGCATACATACAAAGACATTTACACACACAGAGAAAAAGAAGTATAGAGTTTAATTTTTTATGGTGCAAATAGGAGTATTTTTTTATTTTATTTTTTATTAATTATTTATTAAAGATTTCTGCCTCCTCCCTGCCACCACCTCCCATTTCCCTCCCCCTCCCCCAATCAAGTCCCCCTCCCTCGTCAGCCCGAAGAGCAATAAGGGTTCCATGACCTGTGGGAAGTCCAAGGACCACCCATCTCCATCCAGGTCTAGTAAGGTGAGCATCCAAACTGCCTAGGCTCCCACAAAGCCAGTACGTGCAGTAGGATCAAAAACCCAGTGCCATTGTTCTTGAGTTCTCAGTAGTCCTCATTGTCCACTATGTTCTGAGAGTCCGGTTTTATCCCATGCTTTTTCAGACCCAGGCCAGCTGGCCTTGGTGAGTTCCCAATAGAACATCCCCATTTTCTCAGTGTGTGGGTGCACCCCTCGTGGTCCTGAGTTCCTTGCTCGTGCTCTCTCTCCTTCTGCTCCTGATTTGGATCTTGAGATTTCTGTCTGGTGCTCCTATGTGGGTCTCTGTCTCTGTCTCCTTTCATCGCCTGATGAACGTTAATATTCAGGAGGATGCCTATATGTTTTTCTTTGGGTTCACCTTCTTATTTAGCTTTTCTAGGATCACTAATTATAGGCTCAATGTCCTTTATTTATGGCTAGAAACCAAATATGAGTGAGTATGTTCCTTTTTTGGGTCTGGCTTACCTCACTCAGGGTAGTGTTTTCTATTTCTGTCCATTTGTATGCAAAATTCAAGAAGTCCTTGTTTTTTACTGCTGAGTAGTACTCTAATATGTATATATTCCATACTTTCTTCATCCATTCTTCCATTTTTGCGTCCAAGACAAGGCAGACTTTTTAGCGTCCATGAGATTCTGAATCATGATGGAAAGGTATTCTGCCAAAAGACATGAAAAGAACTTCTACTTTCAACTCATATGCTAGTTTTCTGTAGGCCCTATGCCAAATTATTTGCATTTTCTAGAACTTGCTTTCATCATCTGGTAAATGAAAGGTCTCATTATAATAGATAATCTCATGAGTTTCTTCAATTGGAAATTTAGGTAATATCTGTGAGGATTTAAAGAGGGTAGACCTTAGAAAATCAAGATTTGATTTAGGGAGATATTGTTTACATATATTTAATGGTGAGACCCCTAAGATCTACAGTATTGGCAAATTTCAACAATATATAAAAGTATCATAAAATTTAGTCCCCAGGCTATGCTCTCTGCATTTCAAAAACATATTAATACTAAATGAATTTTTCCCTTTGATCACTTTCTCTACATTTTCCTCATGCCATTATTCACAATAATGACCATTTTCTTTCCTAAGAAAAAAAATAAAGTTTGAGAAGTTGAAAAGATTAGAGGGTGATTCATCTTTCCCCTGAAAATGTTAAGAGTACTAATTACTTGTATTATGGCATCTAGATACCAGAGAATTGTGTCTGGTTTTCAAACTCTAACACTGTTTTCCTTCAGTTGCCCAAGTTCATATCCAGTCATTGCTCTTAGCGTCTCTGGTGCTTTTGGCTTGTTTGTTTGTTTTTGTTTTCTTAATTGATTAATTAATTTTTGATTTTTTATAAAGAAGGGCTGCTGTTCTATAGAAAATATTCTTTTCAGGGATAAACTAGTATTTTGGAGTATGGATGGACACTAAGTTTCATGACTGATTATTATCTTCAAAGATAAATTTTAGTTTATCTATGTTTACTGAGACAGATCTTTAATATGAAGCATCACAAGAAGTCTATCTTGGTTACTATCCTAATTCAATATTTTTAGTGCTGACTTAAATGGGGGTGTTGATGATGAGATTAAATACATAGATGGTATAAATCTGATGGGAGGAGGACACTTAAAGATTTTAGTATAATCTGTAGGATCCAAACAGTCATTTTGTGTTTGATATCGATTTCAGTGTGTTTGAATTGTATACATGGTAGAAAGAGGACTCAAAATATCTTTACCTATTGCTTATTTTATTCAATAGTACTTTACTTCCAGAACAGTTAAACAGTTGGACCAGATAAGCTCTTGGCAACAAAACAATCTTCTGTCTCTCTGTATCTCTCTGTGTCTGTGTCTCTGTGTCTGAGTCTGTGTCTTCTTTCTCTCTTTATCAATTTTGTTTAGATGTGAAGTTATTTAAACAGGTAAGGATCAAAATTCAAAGCTGGAGAGTTGTACAGTTAGAGTTTATTTAAGAGTTAGTATGAGCTATTACACTTTGTAATTTGATTTATGTTGCTTAATGATTTGGGGAAGATACCTTCAGTGCCAGGTAATGGCATTATATATTTAACAATTCAAAATTCTAACTATGAGAATTTAGTACATTATGTGTAAGGTACTGTGATGAGCTACAGAAATCAAAATTTCTTTTTGGGGGAAACCCAAATTTGTGTGGAGGAATGATCAAGTATTTGTACATATTATTTTTTGCTACATAGCGATGTTTGATAGGTCTAAAGGAAAGGCTCTGAAAATAAGGTAGCAAACCTTGTGAATAAGGGGGAGGAAGGTTAATATACATATGAGCTATGATGGTGCTTTTCAAAGAGATGGGAATTTAATATATATTATGTTAATTGATTATATTAATATTAATCCCAGCCAAACTACTGAAGACTTCTGGTACGCATTTCGGTTTGGGGTAATCAAAGGCATTTTTTCTCTTTTCCTTGGTCAAAAAGAAAAATGTATGCAAGCTTGCATAGAAAAATTAAGCAGGGAATTTTTGACCACCAGAAGCTCTGCTCTGCCCATCAAGAAATGAAGTTGAGAATATGTTTTGTCTTTGGCAGAGGGGAAAAAAGAGCTGGTGCCAGAACTCATATATTGAAAAAGACTACAGGTCTGTTATCATTCTCCAGTGGCAGTTCATCAAGGACAAACATGTCAGCTGGGAGCCAGCAGCTGCCAACAATTCCTTTCCCAGTTGTTTGGGGGTTAATCCTGGTTAGACAGGAGTTTGCAGTGCCATAGATATTATGTTGTCAGCGCAAGTCCCCACTTCCTGTTGAACATTTTTACCACAGTAAACGCTGGATGATCTGCAAAATGTTGATGTTCCATAAAATACATAGCAGAGTCTTTTAAGAGGAAACTATAAAATATGTTGGAAGTAGGGAGGGGTTTGGGGAAGGCTGTGGGTCCCTAAAATTGTGATGCCATTTTAAAGTTTCTGATTTCTATGGTCTCTCACACTTGTCACTGGAGGCCTGTCCACTTTGCCTCAACTCCTTACAGTTTCACATTTAAAAAAAAATGATTTATTTTGGACTGGAAACATGGCTCAGAGGTTAAGAGCACCGGGTGCTCTTGCAAAGTACCCAGGCTTGGTTCCCAGCAGCCACGTGAAGCCTAACAACCATCTGCAAGTCCAGTTCCATGGAGATATAGTGCCCTGTTCTGGCTTCCATGAGCAATGCACACATTGTGGCAAATCCACATACATGCAGGCAAACCACTCTTAAATGTTTTAAAATTATTTTTAGTTTTGCATATGTGTATGTGCCTGTGAATACAGGTACCTGGGAAAGTCAGAAATAGATGTTACATCCTCTGGGAGTGGAGTTACAGGCAGCTATAAAAAGTTCAATGTGACTGTGAAGAATAAAACTGCCTTTTCAAAAGCAGTATGTGCTCTTAACTATTGAGCTGTCTTTCCAACCCCTGCAGTTTCACATGTAAACTTCTTGTTTTTATTATTCTACTGAAAAGAATCTGCAGTCAACAGTACACAAATGTGGATGCTAGTCGTGGCTTTATTGGTGTTGCTGAGTTTTGCCACCTGAAAATGGAATACTTAGCTCATAAGTGCACAGGGTGTGTTGGTTTTTTTAAGTGTTATGTGAAAGTTGATGACAAGCATTGATACAAGACAATATTGTTACTTAAGCTCTATTGCAGGCCTGGAATTTGCTTTTACTTGAATATTCAGATTAAAATTCCTGAACCTTCCTTCTTCTTTTCTTTCTTCCTCCCTTTCTCTCTTCTTGTATCTTGTATGTCCTGTCTTATCTGTCTGTGCTTGTCCTTCTTTCTATCTCTGTTTCTCCATCCAGCCACACACAACATTCATAGTAAAAATACCATTAAAATGAAGAAAAATAACCCTGTGCGTTTCTTAGCATAAGTTCTTATGGAATCACCGGGAAGCTGTGAATTTTAGGGTATTTTATCCTTCAGACTCAGACTCGCCCTTAAAATTCCATTTTATTTCCCCTGTATGTGGATATTTGTTTATGTATATCCTGTCTTCTTTCACAAAGGATTTTAATTGCCAAGCTTTAACTTGTTCAAAACTTGAGGTGGTTTTCCATCTGATGAAGACTGCATTTCTCACATCTTCAAAGGGAAAATAAGAAGTTGCTGCAAAAATAGAAGTATCAACTTTTCCATATTACACACACACAAAAAAAAAACCTATTAAGAGTAATGATTCAGACATTTCCTGTGAAATCTGCTGTAGCAAATTCTTTGGCAGAGGCATTAGATGAACAGCTTACCCACGACTTCCAGTGAAATGCAGCCCAGAAAAGAAGACATCTAAACAGAAAGTTTACCCTGATTCTGTTTACCTACACCAACCCCTTGGGGAGTGTATCTGGTTTGATTCTTCATCATCATGTAAGTATGACCTCTACTTTTGAATATGTCTAACTAGAAGCATTAAGTATGTCTGTAATTAATCTCAACAAATACGTTTGTCAGTTTGGATATGAAGGAAAAAAAATATAGCCAAATTACCAGTAGATGTGAACGTGAAGGTTTTTTGGTTGTTGCTGCCTTAAATCGTTGTACCCAGTATACTCATTAAGTAACTAACTCTTACTATCTGTTACTGCCTGCTAGAATATTTTCATATGCATGTACATACACACATTTCTGTTTGTGTTCTTCCTCTGAATTCTGAACTGATGGAGGGCAAGCTATAAATCTGTATCAAATATTTTTATCTTTGGTGTCATAATAGTACAGATTAGACACCGTCTTGCTATATTAAGAAACGAAACTGTACAGTTCGACTAGTCTGACTTCAGAAAACAATTCACTTGACTTTTATTTTAAAAAAATCACTTTGTATTTTGTGAGAACCCATAATTATGCTTGGCAATGTAAACAGAGTTAGTTCATCAACTTTAATTCACACGATCAAATTTCAGGCTGCTTTATTTTGTTTTTGAAATGGAGTTACATTTCTCTCTTAAAATAGGTAATGAAGCATAGCTTATAAAAATGATCACCTTTAAAGTGACAAATTTGAGCATACACACACATCCACGAAGATATTAGCACAATCAAAGCGATAAACGCAATCAGATTGCTTTTGATAGTAATCATAGTACATAGCTACACTTCTGTGTGGTTCGGAGTTGTTCGGTTTCACTTCCTTCTGAGGTGATGTAACTTGACATTTGCACGTACTCACTCATGCAAGGGTCTTTGAAGTGGGATTTCCTGGCCCAGATCAGGAGATATGGCCATCAACAGAATTCTAAACAACAGTTTTCTGACTCCATTGCCTGCCCCGGCCCACTTTCCTCTACGAATTATTCATGAAACAATCTCCTTTCTCATTGACAAATGCATAAATGTGATAACTAGCCTAGCTGCCCATTGATTTTTTTCTTTGGGGAGTGCTCTTCCAGTTCTCCCTCTCTCTATCTCCCCCCTCTTTCTTTCTTTCCCTCTCCTTCTCCCCCCTTTCTCTCTCTCTCTCTGTCTCTCTCTGTCTCTCTCTCTCTGTCTCTCTGTCTCTCTGTCTCTCTGTCTCTCTCTCTCTCTCTCTCTCTCTCTCTCTCTCTCTCTCTCTCTCTGTCTCTCTCTCTCTCAAAGATGATTGGAATAATGCATCTGGCCTTGCTTTAAAAGTGAAAAGGAGGTAAATGGAAAAGGACACATGGGGTAGTAAATAAGACATGACCTGAACATGGTTGTTTTATGAGATTCAAATCCTTTTGAACATAATGACAAGTAAAAGAAATTTTCTTTGGGCATTTATTTTGTCTTCATTATTTATTTTTCTTCTTTCAGTATTTCATACTGTAGTCAGTGTCTTTCTCGTTATTCCATTTGTAAGCAGCTTGAAACCCATGTCTTTTGATATGCCTGTTCCAATCACCTAATAAATTTCCCTTCCTTCCACTTTTTTAAATATTGAAATATAATTGCATCATATCTACTTCCCCCTTTCCCTCCAATCACTTCCATAACCCCCTTTGTATTTTCTTTCAACTTTTCAGTCTTTAAAAAATGTTATTGCATGCATGTATGCATATGCATCTATATTTCTAAACATAGCCTTCTCAGTCTGCATAATGTTATTTAGATATATGTTTTCAGTGTTGACCGTTTGGTAGTGAATTACCAATTGGTGTGCTCTTCCCTGGGGAAACTTTTTTTTTCACTCTCAGCCTTCCTTAGTTGCCTAAAGTTCTTTGTAAAACTATCCCAAGGTTACTTTAATAACGAAGAATTTAAAGGACTGGTTTTAAAGGTGGTGAAAGAAGAAATATTGCAAGGTTGACTTTTTTGAAAAATTCTTTGTATATTGACATCCTAAGCTGTAATTTCAAATTAATGAAAAGTATCCAAAGGTAAGTTCTTGTAGAATCTTAGAAAACATGTTGGGATGCAAAGAGCAAAACTTTGCTGTTTAGACAAGCCTGTATTAGAAGTCCCTGCATTTCTTAGTCATATGCGAGTTTGTTTAAGTTACTGAGCCTACAAAAGGCTTGTCTTTTTTTAATCACTAAAATTAGGGTCACTTTTTCTTTCTTTTTTACATTCTTTTTTTTTTTATTTTTCAAGACAGGGTTTCTGTGTAACAGTTCTGGCTGTCCTGGAACTTGTTCTGTAGACAAGGTTGGCCTTGAACTCATAGAGATCTGCCTGACTCTTTCTCCCAAGCGCTAGGATTAAAGGCCTGTGCCATTATGCCCAACTTAAGATCACTTTTTAAGGGAGTGCAAAATAATAATAATAATAAAAAAAACACCTATCATCCTTTCATTCCAGGAACAAATCCCATGTTATCATGCTGTATGATTCTAAACACGATACTGAATTTGGCTTGCTACAGATTTGTTGAATAGTTTTTCAGTTCTGTTCATCAGGCACAGTGGTTCATAATCCCTTTGTTTGCTAGAGGTGGAATTTGTAGGACTCCAATGAAAAGCTGTAAAGCAGCTATTGAGCTCTGCTTCACCTGGTGTTAAAAACAAAACAGAACACTCCATGAGCAAGTAAGCACTTCTGAACATCGCAAATTTGAATTATCTGACTGAAAAGTCTGTCTCTTGGAAAATCAGAAAGGTATGACAAATGTAGAACAAAAAAAATAAAAACCCAGAGACATATATTGGTGTTCAAGCTGAAGATCAGAAAAGCAAAGCAGCTAACCACTATAGAGACCTTTTACCTATACCTAATCTTCATATCAAAAGGGCAAGATCCTGTCTCCACAAATACTCAGACTCCACACTCCACTGGGTTCCTGTCTTTTCCCCTTTATATTCCTCATGCTGCCCAGTTACATTGCTCCTGACTCCACCTCCCTAGTGTTGGGATTAAGGTATGTGACTCCCAAACACTAGGATTAAAAGTGTGAGCCACCACCACCTGGATCTTTCTCAATTGATTTTGTGTAGCTCAGGGTAGCCTTGAATTCAGAGATCCATCTGCCTCTCTCTCCGAGTTCTGGGATAAAAGGTGTTTGCTACCACTCCCTGACCTCTAGTGCCTTTGCTTTATACTCTGACCTTCAAGAAAGCTTTATTTATTAAAAATACAAATAAAGTATCCCTACAGACAACACAGCTTAATGACCCTGATAGGCTGAAGCTTATTATTAACCTTTATCTAGGAACTCATTCAGATTGGCTTTCTGAACCTTAGACATTTTATTTTTTTTCCATTTTTTTATTGAGAAAAGGAGAAAAAAAAACAAGTTTCCACCTCCTCCCAGCCTCCCATTTCCCTCCCCCTCCTCCCACCCTTCTCCCCCTCCTCCCACCCTTCTCCCCCTACCCCCACTCCTCTCCCCCTCCCTCTAAAGTCCAAAGAGCAGTCAGGGTTCCCTGCCCTGTGGGAAGTCCTAGGTCCTCCCCTCTCAGTCCATTTCTAGGAAGGTGAACATCCAAACTGGCTAGGCTCCCACAAAGCCAGCACATTACGTAGGTTCAAAACCCCGTGCCATTGTCCTTGGCGTCTCATCAGCCCTCATTGTTCGCCATGCTCAGAGAGTCCAGTTTTATCCCATGCTTTTTCAGTCACAGTCCAGCTGGCCTTGGTGAGCTCCCAATAGATCAGCTCCACTGTCTCAGTGGGTGGGTGCACCCCTCGTGGTCCCGACTTCTTTGCTCATGTTCTCCCTCCTTCTGCTCCTCATTGGGACCTTGGGAACTCAGTCCAGTGCTCCAGTGTGGGTCTCTGTCTCTATCTCCATCCATCACCAGATGAAGGTTCTTCTTACTTAGTTTCTTTGGGATCACCAATTGTAGACTCCGTGACCCTTGTTTATGGCTAGAAACCAATTATGAGTGAGTACATCCCATATTTATCTTTTTGGGTCTGGGTTACCTCACTCAGGATAGTGTTTTCTATTTCCATCCATTTGCATGCAAAATTCGAGAAGTCATTGTTTTTTACCGCAGCGTAGTACTCTAATGTGTAGATATTCCATACTTTCTTCATCCATTCTTCCATTGAAGGGCATCTAGGATGTTTACAGGTTCTGGCTATTACAAATAATACTGCTATGAACATAGTTGAACAAATGCTCTTGTCATCTGATCGGGCATCTCTTGGGTATATTCCCAGGAGTGGTATTGCTGGGTCCAGGGGTAGGTTGATCCCGAATTTCCTGAGAAACCGAAACACCGATTTCCAAAGTGGTTGCACAAGATTGCATTCCCACCAGCAATGGATGAAGGTACCCCTTCCTCCACAGCCTCTCCAGCAAAGGCTATCATTGGAGTTTTTTATTTTAGCCATTCTGACAGGTGTAAGATGAGAAAGAAAGCATCTTCAACAAATGGTGCTGGCATAACTGGAGGTCAACCTGTAGAAGAATGAAAATAGACCCTTATCTATCACCATGCACAAAACTCAAGTCCAAATGGATTAAAGACCTTACTATCAGTCAGAACACATTGAACCTGATAGAAGAGAAAGTGGGAAGTACCCTACAGCAGATGGGCACAGGAGATCGCTTCCTATGTGTAACCCCAACAGCACAGACATTAAGGGCAACATTGAATAAATGGGACCTACTAAAACTGAGAAGCTTCTGTAAAGCAAAGGACACTGTCACCAAGACAAAAAGGCAACCTACTGACTGGTAGAAGATCTTCACCAACCCCGCAACAGACAAAGGTCTGATCTCCAAAATATATAGAGAACTCAGGAAACTAGACTTTAAAATGCTAATTAACCCAATTAAAAAATGGGGCACTGAACTGAACAGAGAATTCTCAGCAGAGGAAGTTCAAATGGCCAAAAGACACTTAAGGTCATGCTCAACCTCCTTAGCGATCAGGGAAATGCAAATCAAAACAACTTTGAGATACCTTAGACATTTTAAATTGTGTCTTTCATGCATATTTTCTCTTATTCATGCAGTTTTGAGAACAACAAAAAGTTTACGCATCTCACACAACAAACTACATTCTGGAATTTTGAGACATTATCAGAGACATAGATTTTTATATAATTTTCTTTGCAGTGAAAATACCCCTACTTTACACTTTGTATCAGAACCGCGAGGGGTGCACCCACACACTGAGACAATGGGGATGTTCTATTGTGAACTCACCAAGGCCAGCTGGCCTGGGTCTGAAAAAGCCTGGGATAAAACTGGACTCGCTGAACATAGCAGACAATGAGGACTACTGAGAACTCAAGAACAATGGCAATGGGTTTCTGATCCTACTGCACATACTGGCTTTGTGGGAGCCTAGGCAGTTTGGATGCTCACCTTACTAGACCTGGATGGAGGTGGGTGGTCCTTGGACTTCCCACAGGGCAGGGAACCCTGATTGCTCTTTGGGCTGACCAGAGAGGGGGACTTAATTGGGGGAGGGGGAGGGAAATGGGAGGCAGTGGTGGGGAAGAGACAGAAATCTTTAATAAATAAATAAATTTTAAAAAATTACACAAAAAAAACTAATTACATTTCAAAACACAGGCAAAATTCATCTGAGAATAGGGAACCACAATTGAGGAAAAAAATGCCTCCATAAGATCAGGTTGTAGGCAAGTCTGTAGAGCATTTTCTCAATTATTGATTGATGGGAGAGAGTCCAGCGCATTGTGAGTGACACCATTGTTGGGTTCGTAGTCTTGGGTTTTATAAGAAAGCAGCATGAGAAAGGCAAGGGAAACAACCCAGTAAGCAGAACCCATCCATAGCCTCTGTATCAGTTTCTGCCTCCAGGTTCCTGCCCTGTTTGAGTTCCTGTCCTGACTTTCTTTGATGATAATCTGTGACGTGGAAGCATAAGCCATATAAATCCTTTCCTCCCCAAGTTGCTTTGATGATGCTGTTTCATCACAGCAATGACAATCCTAACTAGAAAATGCTATCTATTTGTAATGATTTCCTTGAGGATGTTTTCCATGTCACTCTTGTTTTAATAGCTGCCACACAAAATGCTCTTCCTTAGTGTCGTGATGGTACATATGACAGAAATCATAGAGGAGATTTCAGATGAATGGAAAATAATGCTCTAAGCATGCTATTTGTAAATGCAAAGGATACCAATGTGAAGAATTATTGTGGTGGGGTGGGCGACTGTAGAAAAAACAGTTGTTAGCTGTAAAAAGTATTTCTGTGTGAAGGAGGAGAGATCATTTAAATATTGTCATAATTTCATTTAGAAATTGTAAGTGTAACATTTCCCTCTCATTTCTAGTGCATTGATCAAGAAGAATACTGTTTTCTCTCCACTAGACATCTGCCCCAAGAATTTTCCTGATTCTGATATATGAATCAATCTCCTCAGGAAAATTTCTTTTAATTCTTTGGTTACTCTAAGTGATCAGAAGAAAAGATGAAACCCTGAGACATCAGTTTATATATAGAAAACTTTTTTGTTTTTTTTAATTTATTTATTTATTAAGGATTTCTGCCTCCTTCCCGCCACTGCCTCCCATTTCCCTCCCACTCCCCCGATCAAGTCCCCCTCCCTCATAAGCTCGAAGAGCAATCAGGGTTATAGAAAGCTTTTAAACAGAAGAAATGTGATTTTTAGTTGTTGTTTTGTTTTCTTTAAGAAAAGTTCTCTCTAACACAGAACTGACTCCTGGAACTCACTCTGTCGACTAGACTAGCCTTGAACTCAGATCTGCTGGCCTCTCTGCCTCCTGTGAGCTTCTATCCAGTACTGGAAAAAAAGATTTTTGTCTTTGCCATCAATTGCCACCAAAAGTTTGATGTCATTTTAGATGTCTGTGTGATATAATATGAAACTGGGTCTAATCATGGGAAAGCTATCAAAACCACTAACTCTCACGCACAGAACTATAGTTTCAAGTGCTTTAAGTTGTGTTGCATATAATATTATAGAATTTTTTCTTCTCTACCTTACTCTAGGAATCCTGCCCGACTTCACATTTTAATACATCGAGACCATATGAAAGACCTCCGAAGGTACCTGGTGTTCAAATACATCCAATATCTAGTCTTACCTTCTCCAAATGCCATCATGACCCTATTGGGATTGCTCGCTAGTCTGTATGTCATGCTGATACTGACATTTCCTTCTGTATCCAGAAAATCCACTGTGGTGTTTATTAGTAACATAGCTCAGGCAGACATCTTAGTTGGCTGCAACATTTTTTCTACCATCACAGCAGGAGTGACAAATAGTGACACATCTTTAGCTTCTTTTCAATCTGCCTTGAGGCAGAACTTCCAAATTGCAAATGTTCATGCCAGTTCCCTTTTACTCAGCTGTGTTAGCCTAGAGGCTTTTCTGATTACTTTTCTTCCAGTACAGACTCGCCACATAAGGAATGTTAGATGTGCCAGAGTAGCTTCTAAGATCATCTGGGCTGCTGTAATTATTGAGTGTTTCCTTTATCAGCTTGAGTGCATTGAAGGCTTTAACGTTTCTTATCTTGGCATTCATAGGCACGCTCAGCTATTAGTGAATTTCTGTTATGACACCACAGCATTGCTGAAATTACTTGTTTACCCGACTGGAGTCCTTTTAAGAATCTTCAATGTTTATCTTTTTTATAAAATTTATTTCAGAGACTTCTATATTTAGTTTTTTAGGAATGTGAGATCTGGTGCCCAGTTGTTTTGTTAAACACTCATGTTTAATTGTGCTGTGAAGACATTGTATAGATACAATTAACTTGTAATTTGCTACTATTAAGAAAAAGAGACTAACATCAGTAGTGAAACTGGACCTCATCTAATCAGCTGAAGGCCTTGAGAGCAAAACACAGGTTTTCCAGCAAAAAAAAAAAATATTGCCTGAAGACTGGTAACTTGAGGTTCGAAGCTGTTGTCTGCACTGCACGTTCCAGACTCAAGACTACATCACCTGTGTTGCCGGTGTTCCAGCTTTGTGGCCCACTGCCAAGAAGTTTGAACTTTCTAGCTCTGAAATATCATCTAAGATGGTTAACTGAAAAGAAAGAGAAGCCACAACCTGCTCAGTCTGTGTAATAACACTTGTATGTATGTCTTCAGAACTGATTACTTGGGACTGGATAACCAATTGATGCTTTTCCCTGGGGAAGACATTTTTCTCTTGCTCTCTGCTTTACTTAGTTGCCTGTAGTTATTTGCCTAAAGTTGAGGCCTTGTGAGCTTTCCCTCTCCATGTTAGCCTGTCTGTTGGCATTGTCTTTGTTCAGGTCCTGTTTAGGCAGCCATGTTGGTGAGACTTCATGGATGTAGCTTCTGACATTACTAGGAAAGACAGCCTCAAAGAAATCTCTCTTATCTGCCAGCTCTTAGAATCTTTCCACCTTCTCTTCAGCAATTACAATTGATGGCAAAGAGGCCAGGAATTGAATGAGAGCAAGGAGGGGTAGGTATATGGGGTGGTTTGGGGGGAGAAAAGGGAAAAAATACTGTAATAGTATTATAATCTCAAAATAAAAACAGAAAGAGAAAATGTCATACCCTATATGTTCTGTTTATTTTTAGTTTTAATTTTGGAGAACCCTAACTAATGCTGATTTTTTTGCTACTGAGTCATTCCAGAGAAACAGAGTCTTACAAGTTTTTTGAATTAGTTTTGGGATTTTGACATTTCTTCTCTAATGTAACTGGATTCAAGAGTTTTGATGTCTCTATTTCTAGTAGTAAAAAGGACTCTGATAGGATATAGGATGATATGGCAAGAGGTATAAAAGAGCATAATTGAATAGTGTCAATGAAATCTCTTGGTGAATACATACAAAGGGGAGGCTTTGAACTCATTATGTTGCTGAGACTAGTCTTTGACTCCTGATTTTCACAATTCTACCTCTCAAGTGTTGAGATGACAGCTCAAGTGTACTATGACACCTGGCTGGGTACCCTAGGGCATCCTTATAAAACTAGTGAGTTTACAGAGATTAAAAAATTACTTTTAATTTGCCAAGTGAAAAAAGAAAGGAATGAATTAGAGATTTTTAATTCCTAGTTCAAGTGCTGAAGTAATGATTTGAAAACACCAGAATCTTCTCTGAAAGATTCTTCCCTGTAGTGACAGAATTGACATGATGAAAAGTCGAAACTAGATGCCTTCATTTGAGCAAGTTACAGCTTAACTAGAACTTCTAACCTCATAGGATGTCTGCTGTTAAGTGAAGACATTAACTGGGAAAGAAGGGGATATTCAAAACTGACATGGGTAAATGGTCAAATGCTTAAGACCTGAAGATGATAAAACCCTAAGGTTAGCCAAGTTCATTTGGTCAGTAGAAACAGTCTCATCAAAGGAAGAACTCTCCTTTGCCAAAGAAACTCTTACAGAATCTCATATCAAGGTTGTCTTTCACCAGTCAAGTATCTTCCTGGGTTCTTATAGTTATATCTCTGCTAATTCTGGGTATGTAATTAAACTCAAGTCCCAGCAAGCACTAAAAGATGAGGTGTGTTGCATAAGGATGTTTGTTAAGATGTACAAGAACTGTATGAGTTTTCTAATTTAGACAGATGGGAACTTGAGTGAAATGTTAAGTAATAGATACTAAGGGTGGAGTCTAAGGGTAAGAAGGACATAGCATTGGATTAGGCCAAATAAGCTTATGGAGATTAGAATGTTAGAGTGATAACACACACTCTTTTGCCATGAACATGAAAAAAAGGTTTATTAGAGATTGCCAACATTCATTTTAAAATAATGTATTTTATTATTTCTTTGAGATTTACATACACTGCGTTTTGATCATATTCACTTCTGCTCCTTGTTGAAACTCTTTGCAGATCCATTCGCTGCTCCTTACCCCCTGTACTTTGGTGTTCTTTCTCTTGAATTTTTTAAAAAAGAAAATGTTGTCTTGTAACAGATCTCTTGGTCCTCTGGCTCTTACAATTTTTCTGTTTCCTCTTCCACTATATTCCTTGAGCTTTAGGTATAGGATTTGTGTTATAAATTTATTAACTGGGAAGGGTATTTGATGGTCAGTTATTAACGGCACTTTGACTATCTGTAATGGCCTCTCTCTACTACTGGCACTGAAAAGAAAAAGAAAAAAAAACCTTCTTTGATGATGGGAAAAACTACATTTTTCTGTTGATATAAGTATAAATGTTTAAAATTTAGTTTGAAATTACAGTGGTTTTAGAAAGTGACAGTAGTAGGTGCTCGCTGAGGTTCCACGGCCTCACCAGCCATGAGTATATGATTCAGCCTACTGTGAAGCATGAATTCCCTCCTCAGATCCAATCAGGTGCCTATTGCTTACCCCCAAGCTATAAGCACCACTGATGCATCTTTTGTAGCATCTATCTGTGCTGGCCATTGTTGTGGTTCTTTGGCATCACAACTGGATAAGACTGTTGATTTCTTTAATTTCTCAACAGCTTGCATGACTCTTTCACATACTATGAGAGGTAGTTGTTGAAGAGGAGGATTCCAGGTCATAACCAAGTTTGGTTTCTCCAAGTCCTGTCTCTAAAGTATGTGGTTTCTTAACCAACAGGGTCTTACTATTTTGTTATGGAAGACAACAAAGGGCAATGACTATGACCTATAAGTGATAAGACCAAAGTCTGTCTTTGAGTTTCCTGAAAAACCCTAAAAGGGGGTTTCCCTTGTTTGGCACTGTGTCCTTCGTTAGAGTGTGTATGGTTTGGGGGTAATGTATTGTCATCACAAGTGACATATCTTTAGTTAAAATGTATACAAACATATATGTAATTTTAGGTAAAGATTAAATAATACAATTCTCTAAATCCTATGGCTAATGTTCTTGAAGAACTTTGTGGTTTCTTTTTATAGACAAAAAATTATATCACAAAGGAATTCCTCATCATAATAGAATAGTAGAGTCTGGGATGCTATCAACCCATTGGTGACACAGGACACCAAAGTTAATAAGACTACAGTTACAGTAATGTATACTACAGTCAAAGACGTGCTCAGAATAGTCTAGTGCACAGAGTCAGAAATATGTAGTTTTAGTTTATTGATCATTGTGAAAAGAAATAGAATATATCTAGAAAGTTTATTAAATTCTTTTTTGATTTTCCTATGTTGAAGAATTCTAGGCCAAGTAAAGAATACTGAAACTTGAATCATGAAGATGGCTACAATGACAAAGAAGAAAAGGAGGAGAAGGTAGAGGAAGCGGCAGAGGCAGCATCAGTAGCAGCAGCAGCAGCAGCAGTTTAGGTATGGTAGTACATCCCTGTAATCACAGAACTCAGGAAACTGAGATAGAAGAATCATGAGTTTACGGTCAGCTTGGGCTGCATGGTTAAGTCTCATGTTAACCTAGGCTGTATAATAACAATAGAGAAACAGGAGTCTCCAATTTCTTCATCTAATGCCAATTTTCAAACCATATTCACTTGAATTAAGTGGAGGATATGTGTCCTCGTGTAAGGGAGTATGCCTATAATTATACTGTTAAGCATCCTACAAGTCAAAGTGTCCCATGGCTTTACTTACTAGGGTGACTTTGCATTGAGAAACAGGAAATAGACTTTGGGAAGATTGGTAGGTAGAGGGTCTGAAGTGACACTAATTTCAAAATACCTAAAACATCACTGTGATATGTCAGTCAGGATGGGGGAATTTAAGGGATAAATGATCAGTGAAGCTCAGCCCCCCTTATGTCTAATGTCTTGCCAAATTTATTTTTTCCATTATCTCTTCAGTTCCAGGATGTATAACTAACTGTTATAGACATACTTAATAACTTGCAGAACCCCATGTTAGTACCCTGATCTATAGAGAAAAAGATATTTATTATGGCAGGAAATGTCAAGCAAAAATCACTAGAGTGGAAATTATAAATCAGAAGCAATGTTGGAGGGACATCAATTTTTATTATCACCATAAGGACTTATATGATTTAAATATTGGGATTATCACCACATTCTGACATTTTAATGTAACTTTAAAATTTTTTGCTATTAATCCCAGGAAAGACAAAATTATTAGTTTTTGTTTTGTGACATATAGCTACACTTGAGTTCCAGCAAGCTCCAAAATATGAAGACATTTAATCACCAGATACAACTGAATGATGATAATGTTGATGATGATGATGATAAACAAAGCAAGAAATAGATATTTGAGGACAGTGTGTTACTGCAAACCCAACCAGGTTCAAGTTACTTCATTTATAGCTGCTGAAACAGATGTAGTTTCATTCTTAATGAAATTTAATTCATCCTCTGATACTGGTATGCAGTTATTCACCCCAAAATGCTGTTTTTCTTTACTTTTTACTAGTAATGACAACCAAAATTGATTCGATACCTTGCTATCAAGGATTACCTAGATGGGTCTCTTTGATCTTGTTATTTCTGTCTCTGAAAATGTGAAACAAATATCTCAGTTTTATAAGCTACCCCACCCTAGATATTTTATTATAACAATGGAAAACAGACTGAGATGTTGAAATAATTCCTCCTTTTCTTTTTAGAAACATTTGTTTAATTCCATTTTATTGATTTTAAGGTTAAATTATTAAATATAAGAAGAGATGGGCCTAAATATGAATTCCTTCATATATTTCACTATAATTTGTTCTTTTATCACCACTCCTACAGTCCTCTTCTATTCCTTGAGCCAAA